ATGTAACACATGAAAATCTAACTTTCGACAATATAATAAACGGCGATATAACACGAGATAACGTATAATGTACCATAAATAACATCACACCCCACTAAATCATCTCGATACAATTAAAAATAATTATTCAACCGAAACGATTACAAATTTATCACCGAATTCGATCGAACGAAGATTTCAATTTCCGGCGTTGTAAAGCAGCCTTTAAACACCGGTTAACTACCGGATGATTATTTATGAAAGGCGAACACGATGTAACGATTTTTTTCCTACGATTCGCGAACAGCGATGTGTCATAAAGAAAATGAACTTTCTTCTGGCAGTGACGCAACCTGGACCCCTCGAAATTCCCAGGGTTTATTGTTTCTGCCGGGCAAAAAAGAACACGGCCATATCCACGGTATCCGATCGCATAGGATAGGTCATGGCGGTGGTTTATTTGGAAAGACCTCGAAATTTTTTAAACACCTCGAGAGAGGTGCTTGTCGACGAGTCGACGTGAAACGGGATTCAGATTATTAGTATTTTTATCGACGCTCACTTTCATATATTCTTACATTTAATGGTGCTTGCTTTTATGCAATATAGCCAGTGTAGTGACAGAATGAGAATTGGAAATAATGTTGGACGTAAGGAGATATATGTGGCGATACAATTTGCAGGAATTGTAGCGTGTGGCGATATAGCGCGTAGAAGTCATGACGCGTGGTAATGCACTGCGTGGCGATATAACGCGAGGGATAGGACGCGTAGAAATTACTATGCGTGGGGACACAACACGTAAAAAGAATATAACGCGTAGGAATATAACGCATAAGAATTACAGTACGTGGCGATATAACGCGTGGCGATACAACGTTTAGAAATTGCAGCGCGTAGCAATATAACACGTAGGAATTACAACGCGTAGGAATTACAACGCGTAGAAATTACAACGTTAGATAATACAACACATAAGAATTACAGTACGTGGCCATATAACGCGTGGTGATATAGCGCTTAGAAATTGCAATGCGTGGCAATATAACACGTAGGAATTACAACGCGTAGGAATTACAACGCGTAGAAATTACAACGCATAAGAATTACAGTACGTGGCGATATAACGCGTGGCGATACAACGTTTAGAAATTGCAGCGCGTAGCAATATAACACGTAGGAATTACAACGCGTAGGAATTACAACGCGTAGAAATTACAACGTTAGGTAATACAACGCATAAGAATTACAGTACGTGGCGATAAAACGCGTGGTGATATAGCGCTTAGAAATTGCAATGCGTGGCAATATAACACGTAGGAATTATAACGCGTAGAAATTACAACGCATAAGAATTACAACGCGTAGAAATTACAACGCATAAGAATTACAGTACGTGGCGATATAACGCGTGGCGATATAGCGCTTAGAAATTGCAACGCGTGGCAGTATAACACATAGGAATTACAACGCGTAGAAATTACAACGCGTAGGAATTACAACGCGTAGAAATTACAACGTTAGACAATACAACGTATAAAAATTACAGTACGTGGCGATATAACGCGTGGCGATATAGCGCTTAGAAACTGCAACGCGTGGCAATATAACACGTAGGAATTACAACGGGTAGAAATTACAACGTTAGACAATACAACGCATTGGAATTACAGTGCGTACAACGCGAGGCAATATACCTAAAGACTAATACTCCACAAATTAACGCCTGCCTATCATTTCACAAAACTGTTATATGCGTTCGGTTTTTCTTATCATTACTCAAAGTGTAAATGGGTGTTACCAAATTTCCCTAGATAATTTTTCTGTACAAAACTCACCATTTGATCACAAAGTAACGTATCGCAACAGGCATATTAGCAAAAGGGTTAACGGTACGATAATGGACCCCGAACATCCTTTCAACTACATAGTGAAAAAACACTAGACGGTGATCTTATCGGGTGGATTAACCGCTGGAGAAACGTTGGCTACGTTGAGCGACGAATTTAGATAGAACGCAAGCAAAAGACAATTAAACTTTGGTCGAAAGTTCGAAAGCGTTTCGCTGCAGCCCGAGGCGACGGCGGATAGGAAAGGACCGAATCGAAACACCTACAGCGAACGGCGTTTCATTTAAATGAAAATTAGACGTCGCTTTCGTGTCATCGATTTTACTCACCGCGTTCGCGTGAAATCGTTCGCGAAACGAAAATCGTCCTTCGAGCACAAAAATGTTCAATGCCGAGAACCGCAGATGAGAAACGATTCAACGACAGCGGAAATTTAAGAACAGCGCAAATATTTGCAAGAAAGGACAATGCAACAATTAACGCCATTGAAAATTGCCTCCTCTCGCGATAATTGACGCACATGTTCGTCGCCATTTATCATTCTCGATTCGCGGAGCGACGCGTTCGCAAAATAATTGGATGCCTGTCAGACACAATCGTTATCGGGAATCTGATAAATCGTCGCGTGGTATGTTTTCTTAAGATAAACTTTCTTTTTCACCGTCTCGAGGTTTCCGTAATTTACGAACCTTCGCTCGCTAAGTCTTCGGAGACCTTCGACGTTTTATTTAGAAATTTGGGGGATCTAGGGGAAGTCTAGGGAGAGATTTAGAGATCTAGGAATGTGGAGATTTATAGATTTACAGATTCAGTATTGAACATTTGGGGATTTTAATAGTTTGGGGACCTGGGAGATCTAGGGATTTGGACACTAGGGATCTAGGGAGTTTAGAGGGTGTTAGGGGATCGTGAGGATTTAGGGATGTGGAGATCTGGGGATTTGAACATTGGGGATTCTGAAGATTTGGAGACTTAGAGGTTCACACTATTAGAGGTTTTGGGCATTTGATAGTTTCTGGGGGATCTAGGGATTTGGGCTCTAAGGGATCTACGGAGTTTAGAGGGTGTTATAGGGTTAGGGGATTACGCCGATTTAGGGATTTGGAGATTTAAGGATTCCAACTTTGGGGAATTTGAAGATTTGAGGATACAGTGCTTGAAAGTTGGAGATTTAGTGAATTTAGGAGATTTAGGATCTAGGGATTTACTTCCACATTTCGTGACGCTCTTCCAAAACTTCAACAAATATTCCAAAAATCCAAAAACGTCCTAAATGACCCACCTAATATCAGCACCTACATATACGTCCTAGAAAGATCATCCAACCCAGTATCAATATACCTAGTACATTATAAAAAAAGTAAAAATTGCAATAGTGGTAAAATGGACTTATCGATTAGTTCGAAAATCTATCGGCGATGGCGCAGGTGACGGCCCGTGAAACTCGTTCGCGGAACCGAAAAAGTGGAACATCGAGACGATCAAAGATATTTTGAGAACCTGGATAGAGAAGTTGGAGGGATTCGTAAGGAGCAGAGAAACGCAAAAGATGGAAGCCGAGGTGTCCTGTCGAGTGTTTTTGCAAGGCCGGAGTCGAACCCTTGGAAAAACAGACGCCAAATTGAATCCCTCCGCTATAAGAACGTGATGTCTCTTCCCTTATCTATATAACTCTACCACTCGTGTCTTTTCCTCTCGGGGTTTCTCCAATTTCTTCGTCCACGGATTACACGTCTGTCTGTATTTCTCCGAGTATATATCTCGAAAATATTTCAGGAGGGCCTCGATAAAACGAATATTAACCTCTTTAATCGATGTGTAACGATTAAATCGTTCAGAAACTTTTGCTGAACTTGTTGATGAACAAATATTCTTGAACTTGAGAATAATCGTGACCCTGAATTTAAAGGAAACTTGCTTTCGACAACGTCGATTAAAATGTTTGCACAAATGGCTGTTTAATGCTACAGTACCTAAACACAAGGTAAAATGCGATAAGAACGTGTACGTACAACATTTTTCATTGTGCATGACATTTACTATCGAAGTACGAATATATTGATTTCAAGCGGTGTTCAGAAACAACAGCGTTCTTAGTCTAAAAATTTTGCATGATTTTAGCCACTGTGACAGGGAGTCACGTGACCGATAAACTCACTTCAGACATTAAATTTTGTACCGAAATTAATTTCCACTTTATAATCTAAGTCTACGAGCAACTTACAAATTTAATTTCGTACTAAAACCAATTTTACTTTCTTGTTAAGTATTATAAGGTAATATTTGAGAAGAAAATTTGGAAAATTTGAAGCCTGAAAGATAGCCTGGAGATTACCACAAGTAGCAAGATATCCTTCGAAACTTTTCCTAACACTCCCATGAAAGTAGCACTGTTGCGAGTCAATAGGGACCGAAGCACCACGTGGTCAATTATATCACTCCGTATCCCAGATATTCTCGAAGTCCAGCATAGATCGGTGAAACTGTCGATTTCGAAAGCCACCAATGAGATCCTGAATCAGGTAAAATCGGTCGATTCGGTGCTGAGAAAAAGGTATCCGACGGCGGCGAAAGTCGTACGCGTAAAAATTTCGCGAGTTCTCACACCACACAGGGCGACGCTCATTGTCTCGCTTTTGTTGCGTCGGCCCTGCGCGGGCAGCGAGGAGGGCGTGACTAGGTTAGGACGGTCGCCGGATCCCTGCTGACTCGTCCGCAGAGGCGTCCACGCTTTTCCCTTTAATATCCGCTCTCCGATTGGTCGAGGCACGTAGGTGGAGTCACATGATCGCTGTGCGCCAATGGGGACGGCCGTTGAAGAATAGGCGGCAGGCAACGACGCGTTCTCGTGATTTTTCGAAGAGAGGCGCCACGCACGGGGTCGCGCAGCCGTGCTCGCCGACACCGAACACTTCGGTTGCTCGCGAGGCCGAGGCCCCAGTGTGTTTTTACTCGGGGTTGAGTAAACTCCGGCCTGTTGTGTATCATAATACGCGTGCACGCGGGTTTACGGGTTAGCCTGGCATCGACCACTGGATGCTCCCTTGTCTCGCACCACGCCGCCTCGCCTGTCTTCCTCGATCGCCGAGACCAACTTTCCCGGACTAGAGAGATATTCCGGAAAGCGTCAACAAAACAGGCGTTTAAACGCGGCTAACGAGTAAACGAACCGCCGCGCCGTCTCTGTCCGGCCAACGGAATTGATAATTCGCAGCACGATCCATCGACCGAAGAGGACACCGATCATGTTCCTCGATATCGAGGGCTAAGTGGGTGACGAGACCCGCAAACTCGGTCGACGAGTACGTCACCGAGTCTTAGTGAATTCCTCGTACACGGATTTTGATATCGTGATCGATTGTGGAAGGAAGTGTTAGTAAGTGACTGATCGAGATCAGTGAGTGAAAATCGCGTACGCATTGAACTTGGTAGACCTAATCGATATTCGGGATACCCACAATGTCCTACTAAGGAAACTTCGCTGACAGTGATCTGGTTACTGTAGATTCGCGGCAGGTGCCGTTGAATCATCGCTACGGTCGCAGAGTACGTCACGATCAGATTCGGTGTACCTATAAAAATGCATACGCTGTTCGGTGAACAGAATGCTTACTATCGGCACGCAACGGCCGTTCCCGTTGGAATGGGAACCCCGTCTTATCCGGGAGTGGGTGCCGCGCCAGGATACTACGAGCAGTATCGCTACGGTGGCTACGCGACGGCTGCGGGCTACCCGGTATCGGGTATCACCCAGCAGCACATCCACCATCCAGGTAAGGATATGGTGAAACCGCCGTATTCTTACATCGCCCTGATCGCGATGGCCATACAGCACGCGCCCGACAAGAAGATCACCCTAAACGGCATCTACCAGTTCATCATGGAACGGTTCCCTTACTACCGCGAGAACAAGCAAGGCTGGCAGAACTCGATCAGACACAATCTCAGTTTAAACGAGTGCTTCGTGAAAGTTCCGAGAGACGACAAGAAGCCAGGAAAAGGAAGCTACTGGTCGTTGGACCCGGACAGTTACAACATGTTCGATAACGGTTCTTATCTGAGACGTCGTAGGCGCTTCAAGAAGAAGGACGCACTGAAGGAGAAAGAGGAAGCTCTGAAAAGGCAGTGCTTGGCGCCCGAGAAACGCAGCCAGGACGAGGCGAAGCCCAGCAACATCGTGATCCCTCCGCCGTCGGACGCTTCGAGCAAGAAGCTGAACTCGCTTGACACCGCGCTGTGCAAACCGAAGAGGGAACCGGTGAACGACGCCGGAAGTCACTGCATGGCCGTACAGGCGAAATACGGTCTCCACAGTCCGATCCAGGACACGAAGACGACGGCGACGACGACGGCCGCCGTCGCTGTAGCCGGCCAGAGCGTCATACAAACAGCCCTGGGTCACCAGGTGCACCCGACTCATCAGGTACACCAGGACGCTATTCAGGACGTCTCCATGGGCCTGGACCCCACCAGCTTCAGCGTCGATGCCCTGATGACGACGCGGGAGAACACCGCCACTCTGATGACCAGAGACAACCAACACCACACGCATCACCCGCACGGTCTCCAGCATCCTCATCCTCACTCGCACTCGATCATGACGAGCAGAGAGTCGATGGGTACCGGAGTCGTGTCCAGGGACCATTTGTCGTCCGTTTGCACGACCACGACCACGACCACGGCCGCCGTCGCCGCTATGATGGCCACCTCAGGGTATGGACACGCTAGCACCGTCTCCAGGAGCAACGGGTCGCCACCCGGAACCATGTACGCGCCTTATTGCGCGCCCACGGCTGGTTACATAATGGACCACGCCGAATACAATTCGAGAAATCATAACAACACCGCCGGACACTCGCAATGGTACCAAGAGGCAGCCAGCCCTGACACCGCCGCCATTTATCAGGATACCCAATCGCCCAGCTGTCAACTTTATAGGTAAGAGAGAAAAATTTGCCTCTTAGGACTTTTGTAGCTGTCTGGTTGAGTCACCGATTGGTACCGATTGCTAGGGATTCTTACTACTGGCTGATTTGATGCAGTTACAATTGTCTTGGAACTGACATGTTCCAACTGTGTTTTAAGACACATTCTGTGGAGGAGGGTTGTAAAATTCAAAGGGAGGTTGTTACATGTAAAAAATTAAGAGAGGGATGAGGGCATGAAGTACTAGATCAGTAAGAAGGTTCTGTAGACTCGAAGCTGTTTCAGTCTTATAGTTGTTCAAATAGATTTGTTACTTTGGGGATGAACATGTGATGTACGAACCTTGCATCTCTTATCAAGAACCTGACCTTTAATTTCCTAGTGTGCCAAAATAATTTGTTTACAATCTATAAGTTCTTAACCATCACGTTTCCTTTGTACTATTCGCAGTATATTGAATCAAATTGTTTGGCAACGTTCGTGCTCTCAATTTAGAATGTTGATGTGCTAGAAATTCACCAGATCTTTTTAAGAGTACTATATGGGTGGATTGAAAATTGCAGTTTTTGAAAAGAACAATATGTGTGTTTCCAGATCCAGCCCTCCCACTCCGCTGTCGACGAGTGCAGCCCCGTCTCCGCCCTTGTACCATAGATATTACCAAGACTGCAACACGGTCAACACCAGTGGCAATTTACCGATCACGCTGCACAAATACTGAGAATACCGAAATTCAAGGCCTCATCGAGGCCTTGAAGAGCATCACCCCGATCACTACGACTCGAACTTGGTTTACGTGAAGCAAGAGTGGATTCCCAGCACGGAAGAGCTCGCCAAAGAGTGGAATTAGATAAGTCCTAAATTCTGATCCAAATGGTGAAGTAAAACGGTGATTTCTCGAAACTGTTAACCGCGGAGGGAGTACTTAGCACGTCTTAGCGCAACAATGAATGTTAAATAGGGAAAAAATTAGCGATACGATGGATTGTTCGAGTTAGCTGATTTTTACTTTGAGCTTTTCAATTTTGTAAACGATCCCGTCGATCGAGATGTCGAAACGCGCTTGACATTTCGAAGTCGTTATCGCGATTAGCGAACACGTGTCCCAACTGTTCGGACGCAAAAAAGTGGTACACGTATGCGTGTGACCGAACGAGCCCGAGGATTGACACATAACCTCAAAGCCGAGAGACAATTTCTTTTATCTCTCCTCGGGCTATGGAAAAAGTTCGGAGAGTAATTGAACTCCGTTTCGAAAAACTTCTTGTAACTTTTTTCATCGTTGTCCTCTTGATTATCCTTTAAATTAAATCTCAACATTGTCGTTGACTTTATTTCCCGTTGGACTGGGTAGAAGACGTAAATTTAACCGTTGTGAAGGAAACTGAGTATTTATCGAAGAGTTTTACTGCCATGCTTTCATTTTTGTCTGAAGAACGCAGAGTAATGTTTTCATAAAGAGGATAGTTGCCTTCATGAAGGTTAGGTTTAGATGCCTTTGGTTTCCGAAGCATCTGATCGCGCTTATCACGGCTAGAATCATTCATTAATGAATCGGAAGTGCGAGTGAAGCGGGATCTGCCCCAAGAAAACAGTTGTGAATATCAATGATGATCGTAGTCACCTGAGCAAACAAAGGCAAGTCTCCGTCCTGACCTACTCTAATTTGACCGATTCGAAATACCTTTTCTCGCAGTGCACGTCGGCCAACGATTGTTACAACTGTGAAAACTTGCTACACATTAACCGGATAAAAATAATATCCTGGAAATTGCACCGGAATTGCTTGTACGCGTTGCTTTCGTCACGTACGCATCATCGGTGCTTTTAACGACGATGATAGCATCCTTCGATCGCATTCGAGCATAAAAATCGGCCATTTTGCATCTCACCACGATTTATGATCCTTCAGAGGTTGCACAATCTGTACATTTCTCATTTAAATCACGCTTTTTGTTTGTTGGAACATTTTCATCCATCTTTTTGATACTAGGCTGATCCATGATGGCGGATTGTGCTAGTTGAAAGACGTTCGTGAAAGTTTTTCCTTAGGTAATTTAGTGGAATGAGACGAGTACGTGATAGAATTGATTGTAAAAGAAAAACAAGTGATATCGAGAGGGTTTCGTGTCTCGTCGTTTGTGCATTTATTTATGTAAATGTCATTCCTTGCAACCGATTCGTGCTTCGTATTAAGGGTATTGCTATCGATATTATCTGAACGAAATATTCATGAAACTGTAATATCCATAAGCAACGCGTAATTTTATCATTCGAAAATCTAACTTAGATTAAGTTAGGTTAGGTCTGAAGTTTTAACAAAAATATACGAGTTTGAATGATAAAATTAACGATACATCGATATTTTCCTACTAGATATTCTAGATTTACTTGTAGGAATATTTCCTTTCGGAGAGAAAAGGAAAGGATCTTCCTAGTGGTTCTCCCTCTTTAGTGTCTCTAATACAGTCCCTAGATATCCTCACATTTAGATCCGAAAGACACTAGAATTTCTAAAGTATCTATAATGTTTAGACTTCCTAAAATTTCTAGAGTAGCTATCCCAAAGTCTGTGGAAGTTTTTAAAAATACTCTCACAATCAAATTCCTAAGGCAGACGCCTTATACTGATCTACCCAGAATTCCTACGGCGTCGAGCCCCCGGCGTAGGGAAATATCGAAGTTCTAACGTATGGTTTATAATCGATAGCAGCACTTACAGATCGAATGCACCGGATTGGTTGAATCGACGAGAGCTGAGATATATAATATATTTATTAACGACAAGGTCATGTGAATAGTTGACGATTGAAACGAAATCGTATAGTAGATAGATCCCTGCGTGTATATTATTAAAGAAAGAGTATATATATATATAGATATAGATTGTATAGATGAAACTATATATGTATAAATAGACAGATATATATATGTATACATGAAACGTATTGGTATCACGATTAATATTAATAATCGCAAACTTATTAACGTAGGATGAGCGGAACCGTTACGAAATAAACATAATGAACGACAACGAATAATCCTGTGTATTTTGTTCATCTTTTCGTTTCGAAATATCCGTGCATCTCCTTGATCCGACGTTACCGACCGACACATTCGAAACTATTGTCTGGCCGTCCAGCAGTGTTTATTGGTGTTACGGAAAGGAGTGCTTGGAAAAAAAATATTCCGTTACATTTCTCTTTTTTTCTCGCGGGCCATCGTTTCTTTTTTTCGCGCGACTACCTGCCAAACATACCGTGCAGACGCGACACAAACGCACCTGCGAAAACAATACAACCTTTTTAATTACCCCCCGTTCGATTAATTGCACAGCGCGAAAAATTCGATCGAAAAAAGAAACTCGAAGCGGATTAATAAACGAAAGTTTACGACGAAAATAACGTAGGCGGGATATAAAAGTCGTGCAACGGGATTTTAACAATAAATCGGAATCGAAGGTGAGCGAAAATTCTTCGCGCACTTTGTTGCTTTACCGGTACAGAAATCGGCCCGATTATTTCTAGTCGCGATCTGCGAAACGTTATCCTCGGCCGCATCAGGCGTGGGCGATAATGGAAAGGTAAGAATATCTCGCTACGTCCGCTCGCCCGAAACCATTTGCACGATCGAACGACATCGGAGCCTGTGGATCTCGGAGAAATTTTCAAGTAAACGCAGGAAAATTTTCATACGGATACTTTTTTGGATGACCTCGAAGAGATAGGTTACTCCTTCGGTTTGGTAGATTTCCGACTTCAATTTTTCTTGTCACTGTGAAATTTAGATTGTTTCTTTTTGATCAGACTACCTTGTAAATTTTGGGCGACTTTTTATGACAGGATTGCAATGTGACCTTGGTAGGTACATCGTAATAGTTCAGTAAATATGATTAAATTTGTATGAAGTTTCTATTTGAATCACTTATATGTTTGTATGTAACGATGTACATATAGGAACATTTTGCATTATGCTCATAAAATGATACTTCAGATACAAATGATAAAAAAGTCTCAGCTATTACATGCATAGTTGCAATGTACATATTTAGACATTTTGTATTATACTCATAAAATGATACTTTAGAGTCAAATGATGCTATAAGTCTCAGCTGTTACATGAAAAGTTGTGATGTTCATATTTGAACATTTTGTACGACGCTCATAAAATGATACTTCAGATTCAAATGATACTGCAAGTCTCAGCTGTTACATGAAAAGTTGTGATGTTCATATTTGAACATTTTGTACGACGCTCATAAAATGATACTTCAGATTCAAATGATACTGCAAGTCTCAGCTATTACATGCATAGTTGCAATGTACATATTTAGACATTTTGTACTATACTCATAAAATGATACTTTAGAGTCAAATGATGTTACAAGTCTCAGTTATTACATGAAAAGTTACAATGTACATATTTAGACATTTTGTACGACGCTCATAAAATGATACTTCAGATTCAAATGATGTTATAAGTCTCAGTTATTACATGAAAAGTTACAATGTCTATATTTGGACATTTTGTACTACACTCATAAAATGATACTTTAGAGTCAAATGATGTTATAAGTCTCAGCTGTTACATGAATAGTTGCAATGTACGTATTTAGACATTTTGTACTACACTCATAAAATGATACTTTAGAGTCAAATGATGCTATAAGTCTCAGCTGTTACATGAAAAGTTGCGATGTCCATATTTGGACATTTTGTACGACGCTCATAAAATGATACTTTAGAGTCAAATGATACTACAAGTCTCAGCTATTACATGAACAGTTACAATGTCTATATTTGGACATTTTATACGACGCTCATAAAATGATACTTCAGAGTCAAATGATGCTACAAGTCTCAGCTATTACATGAACAGTTGCAATGTACATATTTAGACATTTTGTACTACACTCATCAAAAGATACTTCAGATTTAAATGAAATTATAAGTCTCAGCTATTACATGAAAAGTTGCGATGTCCATACTTAAACATTTTATACTACACTCATCAAACGATACTTTAAATGATAATACAAACGATGCTACAACCTCAACTATCACACAAAAAGTTGCATAAATTTGAAGACGTCTGACCGAACCGACTAAGCGAAACACCGAAAGAAACAAAAACTTGCAAACAACGATTAAATGATCTAATGACTGCTTCGCAACAGCGGTTAATGTTTGTTGAGAGAAAAGCTTGGTCAGAAACAAACGTTGCGGTGGATTTTGTCGGCAGTCTTTTGCTCGAGGCGGGATTTAACTGCATCTGCTGAAACACGTGCTCCGGATAATGCCAGGCTTTAGAACCGTTCCGTTAGTTCGCTGAAAGATAGTGTATACCTATCGACCAGTTAGCAGAATCCCTTCGAGCACGCGTCACTTTGTTCCGTTTCTTGCCTTAGGACTTGGGTTTATGGGAAACCCAGGCTCTGAGGATTTTGGGCAAATGCACGTTCGAGTTGTTACTTTTATCTAACACGTACATATTTTACGTGTCACGTGTATTTGGATAACTAGGATTTTTGATTAAAGGACTTGTTTTAAATTAGTGTGCGTTAGATTGACTTATGTTGTGTGGTTATAGGTTGTGCAAGGTTGTAATGTTGCTTGGATTGGTTTGTATTAGACATATTTAACTTAAACATGGCTATATGTCAGATGACTTAGTGTAGTATAGTAGTGCAATCAAGTCTTGTTTAATATCTAACTTAATCTGCAATTAAACCTAGTCTAATATCCAAGCTGATATACTATCGAACATAGTCTAATATCTAACCTAACTGAACCTAATTATCAAACCTGTTTAATATCCAACTTTAATAGCTACTGTCAAACCTAGTGTAGTATTTAACCTAACTACTATTAAACCTTCTCCCATATGTAACTTAACCTACCATGAAACTGACTATCAAACCTAATTTAACACGAAACCTAGATCATATCAAGCCTAGTGTAATATCTAACCTAACTATCAAATCTTCTCCCATATGTAACCTAACCTACCATCAAACTGACTATCGAACCTAATTTAACACCTAACCTAGATCATATCAAGCCTAGTGTAATATCTAACCTAACTATCAAACCTTCTCCCATATATAACCTAACATACCATCAAACTGACTATCAAACCTAGTTTAACACCTAACCTAGATCACATCAAACCTAGTGTAATATCTAACCTAACTATCAAACCTTCTCCCATATGTAACCTAACCTACCATCAAACTGTCTATCAAACCTAGTTTAACACCTAACCTAGATCATATCAAACCTAGTGTAATATCTAACCTAACTATTAAACCTTCTCCCATATGTAACCTAACCTACTATCAAACTGACTATCAAACCTAGTTTAACACCTAATCTAGATCATATCAAACCTAGTGTAATATCTAACCTATCAAACCTTCTCCCATACATAACCTAACATACCATCAAACTCAACCTTAACTTCACCCCAAACTTAATATAAAATTTACCTTAACATCTAACCTAAAAATGAACAGTACAAGGTTGTGTTAATAACCTACCAGTAACCTAATTGCAAATAAAGTCCAATTAAAACAGGAAGTAAAGCAACGAACAGTACAGTATACTATAAATTTATTAACCGGTTAGAAGAGGCTCTTCTATCAAAAGCGAAATCGAATTAGCGATCGACAGGCGAAAGTGATGGACGTCAGAAGTGGTATTTGCACGGAATGTAAACTCTCGTGATGGTGGTTCGGCATTAGCCTCTAAACCGTGCAAACACACGCGAGAACGAACAGGCATGGGGCAATTTTAGAGCGTTGGAACTCGAGGGGTGCAAAAGTCATCGGGCCCTCGTTCTCTATCTCCACGGCAAACACTTAAAATTATCCACCCTGCGGCGTGCAAATACGTTCCGAGGAAAACGTGCGCCCCATCGAAACATAACCTTCAATGACCAACCTTGGAAGAGGCCCGCGATTCTGATGACCGATTCTTTCAAGTGGGGAATTTGGGGATCTGTGGAGAAGATGGAAATTTGAGATGGGAATTTGAGGGTTTGGGGATTTAAGGATTTTAGGAGGTGGAAGTTTGGTGATTTGGGGATTTGGGAATTTGGTAGGTTAGGAATTTGGGGATGTGAGAATTTGGGGGTGTAGGTATTTGGGAATATGGGAATTCGGTAAGTTGGGAATTTGGAGATGTGAGAATTTGGGGGTGTAGGTATTTGGGAAAATGGGAATTCAGTAAGTTGGGAATTTGGGGATGTAAGAATTTGGGGGCATAGGTATTTACGAAAATGGGAATTCGGTAAGTTGGGAATTTGGGGATGTGAGAATTTGGGGATGTGAGAATTTGGGGGTGTAGGTATTTGGGAATATGGGAATTCGGTAAATTGGGAATTTGGAGATGTGAGAATTTGGGAGCATAGGAATTTGGGTGCGTGAGGATTTGGAGAAGTGAGAATTCGGA